TTTTTTTTTTTTTTTTGACAAGTGAAACAAATTCTAGACCCAATGGTAAAAGAAATTATCACTTTAATGGACAATTTTCATAAAAATAAAGCCTAACAGACACCAAGCTTTCAACATTTTCCAGGTGAAAAATTATACCAATCAAACACAATTAATTATAATTCTCAGTAAAACAATTTCTAGGCAATTCAATTCCCTATAATTCTTTTTCTTTCCACTCATTTTTCATATTTACAATCAAACAGATCCTTTAATTTAGGAAATAACTCTCGAAGTAATGAGAAAACACTTCCATGGTCGGTCGAAATTTATAAAGAACAAGACTCGGTATTTGCTGTATTCTAACATATACTATTCGAAAACCCCCCAACTTCTTTTGGCAGCCAAAAAAGTGCACCTTTCCGATTAAAGAACGAAAGTGTTTGGGAAAAAAGTTGTTGGAAATAAGTCCAACTTTTGAATAATCAATTGAAGATATCTTTATTAATGTAATCCTATTATCCAACCCTACTTTACATTTAATTATTTTCCTACGACAGACACTTGTATACGATATGAAAAAAGTAACAAAAGAACTCATTTTCAAATGGAAAAGCGTTAATCCATAAGAAATATCATTACCATAATAAGCATTTGGCTTTGAGGTTTTTGATTTTCCTAAGTTAAATTTGGTTGGATGGAGATTTGATAAGCTATAGTTTTCGTTTCTTGACATATTTCAAATATCGAACTCTTTGACAATTCTAGACAATATCTCGATTGAATAAAATGGACCCTTGAAATTAATGCGTTATCTAGTCTATTTTTTTATCTTTAAAATTCACTATTAAGAATTAAAACCCGATACCCATGAGCCCTGACGTGCCAACATAATCTTATAATCTTTGATAATCTATAGAAAGCCAAATGGATTACATATGATAATGATATCAAAAATTATTTTGGCTTTTTGCTTTATCTCTTTAAATATGTCTATCTTGTAGGCTCCCACTTTCAATTACCATGTGTTCGACCTACCTGTCGAGGACCCACGTTAGAGACTTTGTATTTTGCTGTCGAAAAAAAGTTCTGCATCAACTTTCTTACTTTACCCCAAGCTTGGCGCGTCTCATCGTGATTTACACTACTTGCTGCTTACGATGGAAGACTAGTTTTATAAAATTGTCGATCAGATATCTAACAGTCGATTTTGAACCGTCGAATCACTATGCCTTTGTTGTCTATATATTAGAAGTGTAATTTAAGAATTACTTGTGAATCTCACGTGTCACTCGTGAAAGGCTTCTCTTGTGAACTTATAAATACATTGAATACCTTTTCTTTGTAAAACAAGTTTAAGAATGAGTTTTGTCAAGCATACTTGTAACGTGCACACTAACTCCCTATGCACTTTTTTTGCAAGCTCGGGTTTGTGCACTTCTTTTAGCTACGTGCTAGTATCTACCTATATATTACCTAAACATATCCTAATCAAACATTAACATTATTTCCTAGCTACTCTTAAAATCTCTCTCTCTCCCTCTCTAAAAGATGGGTGAAGTCCAAGACAACAATTTATTAGGGATCAAGTTATTTGGTGCAACAATAGCAGTTCAAGAGAGACAATCAACAAATGATGATGAGCCAAAAAAAGCTAATCAAACGGTAGAGAAAAGGCCACAAAAGATCATACCATGCCCAAGATGCAAAAGCATGGAAACAAAGTTTTGTTACTTTAACAACTACAATGTTAACCAGCCTAGACACTTTTGTAAGGGCTGCCAAAGGTATTGGACCTCCGGTGGGGCCCTCAGAAACGTGCCGGTTGGTTCTGGTCGACGGAAAATGTCTAAGCCACCTTGCCAGGACTTGGCGGGGTTATCAGAGGGTTGCTTGCTGGATGCTTCTGGGGTGCGACAATTTGAGTTTGACACGGTGGTGAAGGAGAGGCATGTACAGAAAGGCATTTTCCGGCATCCTTTTCCGGCAAAGAGGAGGGAAAAAATTTCATTGCCAACAAGTAACAAGTCTTCAACTTTATCCAATTAGTACACGAAAAAAAAATAGGACAAGAGGAGGGTAAAAAGGCTCGTTGCCTAAGCTTTATGATTTGCTGTAAATATAAGTTTCTGAATTGATAATTGCAATATTGGTCCATAATTGGCTAAAATATCCAATTGGATATATAAAATATTATAACCATCGATTAGGGAGGGTTTTTGGTGTTGCTGATGATTGATCCAATGAAATCTATTCCAGGATATATAATCAATTATCAATAGTCTTTTCTTTTAAATAACAGAAAACTTTATTCATTTAAATCAATATCTAGGGCGCTTGCAATTAAATTTGGGGTGTATCAACCCACACCATTGATTGAAAAATTACGAAGAGTGTGTGTTTGTTTTCCTTTTGCATAATCGATAAATTGGTAGGTCCACACCAAATAATAGAAGAAATTACGAAGAGAGTGTGTCTTTCCACGAGAAAATTCTTGGAAACTTCATAAATGGTATTTGAAGGCCAACAAAAGCCTGACGAAAAGAACATCAAAATTGAGGAAATTAAGGATCTTGTAATAAATCACTGACTTGTTCTTGTTCACAGATCTGGGGGCAAGATATCCAATTCCTTCCAGAGTTCTATACATTCTGGAAGAGCTTTTTTCTTCAAGAATCCAAGAGGGTTTGCTGTACGTACATCACCATGCATGCCATTGTTGATTGTGAGTGTAATACTGGATGCTTGTTTTGTCCATCCTTCATCTGGGATTTCATCACAATCTTTTCTGGTGCTTGAAACCAACTTGACTTCACAAAATTCGTCCTCGTGATCCCCTTCAACTGGCAGGCGATAAACGCCTTTATCATTGGTTTTACCTGAAACGGTGTATGTTATGTTGCTTTCCTCCTCACCTCTGCACTGAAGTTTTACTTCGGCACCTACATGATGAAAGTTTGTAGGTTATAAATTACAACAAGGAATGATGTGTGGCGTAATTTTAAGAAATGGCAAATCTATTCACTCTATCAATAATCGAGTTAGATTGGTAGTATCATAAGGGATTTGCCTAGTTACAAAATGTGGGACACCAAACTCAAGACGAGTGGCATTTCTACATATTAATATATTTATACAATGACATACCAGGCATGAACTCGGTAAGCTTGTTAATGAACTGAGTGCGGCAAGTGTCGCAATAAACTTGTCCCTCGACATAGAAAGATTCCTTGCCCTTAGGAGAGGCTTTAGAGGAGGCTTGGGAGTTGACGGCACTGGAAAGGGACAAGAAGAATAAAGCTACTGCGTAGAGAATTAAAAATTGAATAAGCCTTGCCATTTTTTTTGCTGGTTGTTTAGGAAAAGATGTAAGGAAATTGGTTTTTGTGTTTGTACCAAGACAACAGTGTATATTTTATAGGGAGGTTGGTTTTTTTTGTTTGGGTCAGTTATTTATTTGTGGTCATTTTGTATTTTGATCTCTTGAGGGTGAAAATTTACCTCACTCCACTTTTTGAGTGAAATCAAGAAATACTCTACTGTGCATATTGAGACGTGTAAAATGAGATGACTACTTTAGAAACAGTAGATGCGTTTTATAATTTTTGGCAAGAAAATAAAATAAAAAGGACCAATGTGATTGGCCCATGTAGGCTACCGGTTTAGAGGGTGGTTAGGCTCGACGCGATTTACCTCTTCCAAATAATATCAGTTAATTAATGCTATTAGGATTGGGCCGAAGGTCATATCATCGTTGCATTATGTGGGTTGGACTGGCATCATCACAGCCACACAAACTTTATCCATTAATCAAAATTGCAAAGTAACCAGTACCCTACACTGACGCTTCCTTGCGTTCTAACGCCTTGGCTTCGTCCAATCCATCCACAGTTCTTGAGCTGATCCCAATCATCCAAAGATGCCAACAGAGTTTATTACATCTATAAAATACGTGGATTGCACGTTGCAAAGGGGGTCTCACATTAGCTTATTGGGTATCAATTATGTCTATTGAATTGAGACGATCAAATCAAACAACCTTTTGTTGGGCTCCGGTCCATTCGACCATCTCCTCGTGGCCCTTTTTCCCCTCTGTTTATATATGTGAGTTCATTTTGCACAAAATATATGTACTCTAAACCCTAGCTAATCTCTTCTCACCCTATCTCTTGCCCTCATTGTATGTCATTCCGACAGTTGATTTGATTGTCAGAATGCAGTTAATCGTCGATCGTCTTTTGAAAGGAAAATTTTTGCACCCTAAGGGTGCGTTGAAATGTGTACGTGATCTCTGAATAAACATGAAGGTGATCGAGATTTTATTGACTGTTCAATCGTATAAATTTTGAGGTCAGTGGAGTCTTCCCTCCACATCCACATTCTCAACTTCATCATATAACTTAAGGGGTCATCTTGGAGAGAGATGGAGCATGAAAATTTTGCGCATGCCAATCTTTTGAATCATCTATTTTACATCTTTTTTAGAAGTTTACAAGGATGAATTATTAATTTAGAGGTCTTGATGAGAATCAAGATGGTACAATTTGAGATTTTAAGATTGGTAAGGAAAGAATATAAGAAGATATAATCACTAAAAGATGCCATTAATACAAGGGGAGGATCATCGGTAGCACCATTTCGACGTCACAATTGCCAAAAAAAAAAATTGAAGAGCTTGAAGAATCCTTGACAAATTTTCAATTAGTACATAACAAAATAAAGTAAACCATAGTATTCAAATAAACTATCACAACAATGGCAGCCAGACAATATGAAGTAAATCATGGTACTCTGGTCTGCAACTTCAAACTAGGAAAAAGTAATCTAGAATTCAGGAGGTAGTCCCCCATAGTTAAGCACAAAGCAGCTTCTTCCCAGAAAAATATCCAATGGAATTGCAGCGAGTCTTATTTACTGCAAAGAACGACAGTGGTTTAAAATTAATTCTGTGACATAATAAACTAAAAGAGTGAAGAATCCAGGTGTAAAGAAAGAAAGTAGACACCCCACCTCTTCATCACGGTCGCCAGTTTTTGTAGACGCATCTGCCTTTTGGCCTTCTTCTGACATAAAACAAAGAACTCATTACTAAAGCTAGCGCTAAGGAGAGCAATGAACAAAGATTTAAAGAGAATTGTGAAAAGCACCTGTATAAAACAACTGAGAATAAGAATATTCAAAATGTAATAAGAAAATGTAAAATTTCAACCTCCTCTTCAGAAATTCATCAAGTATTGATAAAGATGTAATGTCAAAATTCTAGATTTTCAACCAACTATTTACATGCAATTCATCAAGTACCAGAAGGCATGGTGGTTCTCGTCCCCCTTTCCCACCAAAAGCATAAAAGAGGGAACTAATAAAAAAGGACATGTAAAAAGACAAAACCGCGAGAGAAATAGGTTGAAGTAGAGTTCCTTCTCCAAATCAATTAATCAGTTTTAAAAAATCACTTTATATTCGATTTCATTATAAAAATAATTTCTTCTTTCTTGAATTAATTAATCAATTTTATTAACAGAATTCCTTCTTACTTGTATCAATTTAAAAGAATCTACCAGAAGATATCGTGATTCATATCCTTTTATGATCAATTTTCCTTCTTCCTCAAATCAATTAATGAGCAACAAAATTTCACTAGCTACATCGAATTCATATGTGAATTCAACAAATTCTTTGCGTGAACTGGTTACAGGTTCGTCACTAATATTCCGCAAGTGTCTGATTTTTACATCATGCACTTATTCAAAACATAAAATTCCAATCAACAAAAAGTATAATGTAGAAATCATGATTCCACAGAAAGGAGTAAAATCAGGCAATAGAAACTTCGTCTAAGAGGTAAAAATTTAAGTAATCAAATTCAGCAAAAAAAAAAAAAAAAAAAAAAACAAGAAATCACCTCCATCCTCTGGGATGTCAGTGGTCCATAGAGTAAGGTTGTCCCTTAGAAGCTGCATGATTAATGTACTATCTTTGTAAGATTCCTCACTCAATGTATCCAGCTCTGATATAGCTTCATCAAATGCCTGCTTAGCAAGGTGGCAAGCTCTGTAACACAAGGCGTTAGATAGCTAAACACAAATTTCCCAAAGAGCAGAAAGATCACCTCACATAACTATAATATACCTTTCTGGAGAGTTCATGATTTCATAATAGAAGACAGAAAAGTTTAATGCCAAACCCAATCGAATGGGATGAGTGGGTGATATATCAGACTCTGCTGCAGTAGTGGCTGCCTGCTAATCAATGAAAAAGTTAGAAAATAATCTCCAGCATCAATAATCAATGATATCATCCTAGGCAATGAAGAAAGAGCCTTGGCCTGCATTCCAAAATGTAATCACACTCATAGGAACAATAGACATGTCATTTAAGGGCTCATCAATACAAAACTATTTTTCATCAAAATAGCTTTTGTTCTACTTCTCATCAAAATAGTTATGTTAGTCAATCTACTTCTCATTGATCACTTCTGCATTCAAAGTTGAACTCCATCCGATGAGGGTCAAGGATGATAAACTCACCACCACATTTAAACACATACTTTTGCATTTGCAACAGTCGGATGCTAGTCATTTGAAAAGTCATGATTGTACAATTATATGAACCAAGGAGCACTGACATGGACCAGCACTTCAGTGAACAAAATATAAAGAGATAAAATAATGAACATGCAGATACTGATACCCCCAAAAAAAGAGACATACCTGGTATGCCTTCATTGATTCGTCAGCCGCCTCCTTTCTATCATTACCCGTCTTAAACTCAGCAAGATATCGGTAGTAATCCCCTTTCCTAAAACAAAATCCAATACCAGATCCCTAATTTAAACCATAATTTGCATAAAACATCCAAACACAACAAGCCACAAGATGCACATGAATTCCAATAAAAATACCCACATTTTGTAGAAAAACACAGTGGATTCACTGCCTGAGGAGGACGGAATCAAATGCTCATCAATCACAGTCATAATATCACCACAAATATTGGACAATTCTGATTCAACCTTTTGTCTGTACTCTTGAATTCTCTTCACGTTCTGC